GGCGGTGCCCGCCCCGCTGTGGGGCAGAAGCGCAGCCGGGGCCCCGCACCCGGCCGGGCACTGCGGTGGCGCCCGGCAGCACTGGGAGGGTGAGGAGTTGTGACCCTAAGCAGGGTGACAGCAGATTTCTGGCCGTGCCACCCTGACATTTGTGTTTTCAAACAAGAGTTTTCACACCCACCCCCGGTCCCTGTTCTCTGGAAAGTCAAACAGAAAGGAAAATTGCCAGGATTTCCCCCCCCGGAAAGCTGCCAAGTAAATAAAGTCCCATTTGCTCCAGACGAGTTAATAATTACAGAGGCTTTGCAAACACAGTTGATGATAGTCAAGGTTTGGCTGAGCACGGCCTGCACGTGGGCAAACGCCATTGAGGGTGGGTGAAATCTCCCTCGGTGTGCCGCCCGCCACCCAGCACAGCTCTGCCACATCGCGGCCTCTCACCCCGTGGGCCCTCAGCACACTGTGGCCTTTGCAAGTTGATATCCGGCACGTGTGGCAACCAGACAGTTTCATATGAAAAAGAGAAGTAATCGCTGAAGTCCACGTTTTTACTGTTTTGCTTTGTTCCACATTCAAATGTGTACAACATCTAAAGGCAAACAGATCGAACTGAGCACTGCTGCGGCTTTTTACACCAAATACACGATTCTCATGTGTGGTCTCGGTAGCCTTCTTTCAAACTCTTTTTTCAGATGGGCACTTGCAATGAAGTCAGGTCTCGTGTCCTCCCTGCTTTCTGCGCTGGCAAGTGCTGCCAAACTGCTCCCTTGATGGTGACCAGCTGCTGTCTCCTGGGTTATACTTAGACAAAACACTTTTTGAGGGACAACCTGCCTCTTACCCTATCTGTGTATGGTGATTAGCACAATGGGTGTCCACAGCTAGGATCTGAGCTGATGTTATAATATATACAAATAATAATCCCACCAGTCTTGTTTTCAAATCCCCAGTTATAAAACATGATGGACCATAGACACAGTGACTTGTCTCAAATCCCACAGATGTCTCTGGCAAAGCACAGAACTGGACTGTGGTCTCTGGTCTCCTGCTGCGGCAAGCAAACCTCTGGAACCGTCACTGGTTTCTAATCAGAAAATTAAGGGTGTTCTCCAGACGAAGGATCTGCCGATAACTGGGGTATTTAAAACAAGGCTGTTCTTTAAAAGGAAAGATCTAAGAAAGTATCTTCAGACCAACCCACATCAGGATAATCAGACTGAAATCAGAGAAGGATGTTAGCCCGTGCCACAAACAAGCAAGTATCCAGACAGCCACAGTTGTTTGGCCTGCACTAGAAAAAATATTTACAAACTTTGGCAACAAAATCAAAGCTGACAATGGTCATCTGCTTCAGGGTCAAAGCTTCCACTGGCTTTTTCAGCATTTTGTTCTAGATCCAAATATAACCCTAACACAGCCTCTAACGATTGGACTACTTGAGCGGTTTATGTAGAACCTAGGGGAATAAAACCGCTAAAAATACCCTATCCTTGGGGAAATGGACTTTTTCTTCCTCTCTGTATAGCCCATATTACACTGTGTAGGCTACATAAATTTCAAAATCTGCACGAGAGATTACGTTCAGTGAGCATCGCCCATAATGGAAAGATTTCTAAGTGTATGTCTTCTGCTCAACCTTTATGAGAAAGCCTCTTCTGTTACAGTTTTGGTTTTAGCCCCTTAGGAAAGGTCACAAAGTCCTTGGTATAAATGATGTAAAATAATAAGCACTGAACCAATTTTGGCACCAACAGGAGCTGGTGGGATGAATGAGTACTTGATTCAAGGCTCCATTGAGTGCCAACATGTTTACAAGCCACACTTTATTACCAAACCTACCAGGAATTTGGCAGTAGGGCAGTCTGAATCTGTTCAAGACTAGTAAGGCAAATACACTCCTTTTATCCTCATCTCCTTTAAGACTGTAACTGCCGCAGTCTGGCTTTCTCATATGGAATTGTACAAACTGAAATCTGAACTCAAAGGAGCGGAGAACTCTTAGCAGCAGCCTGGCGCGACACTCTGATACGTCTGGGGGGGTTTCACAGCCAAAACCGCAGCTGTTCTCCGTTATTGGGAGCTGATGGGATTCCAGAGCGAGGGGGTTTCCAGCACTGAATGTCACCCCTCGGAACTGGAATGTGCAGGCCAGGTCACAGAAGGGTAGCGGTGGCAGGATGCGGAGTTGGGGTGGCCGCAAGCTCTGCAGGGCTTTCTCGTGACACCTGGCCAGCTCTGCAAGGGGGAAATGGGATTCTCCTGTTCACAAGCAGTATAGATCAAGAACACAGATCTTACAAGTGGGACCATTCCTCTGGGAGATTCTTCAATTGTGGCCAAGTGGCTGCGCTTTTTGCATGTAGGTGTGAGGATCTTACAGGGTCTAGGAGGTGGCTGTGAACTCTTCATTTACAGAAGAGAAAAAGCAAATGAACGCACCGGACGCTGGTGGTGACACAGAGAACGAGTCTGAGAAGGACGCAGGTGCGCTGTTTAGTTACTAGCAAACTCACTTCAGAATAGTGAGAAATCACCAAAGGAAAATCTCCAGCACTCAAGAGGGACTGAGGTTGCTACAGGCTGATCACCAGGTGGGAAGGCTTCCCTTCCCCAGGCCAGGTAGCAACGAGGAGAAATGGGGTACCAGTGCCCTGACACGGGAGCTGCCATCCAGGAGCAGCTTGGAAAAAGTAAACTGCATCAGAAGAGGGTTTGCCAGTACCAGCTTCCAGGAAACTCCACCCAGCTGCCCCTAACTCCTACCGGAGATGTTGGAGCTCAGCACCTTGTGAGACCAGATCCTGTTCGAGCCCTCCATCACACAGAAGGACAGGCAGGGCGGGAGGGGCAGAAGAGTTTTCTGAACTTGCTGCTGTCAGGCTGTGCTGGTACACAGCAGAATCCAGCTCCGGGTCTGCTCGCAGCATTTTTGGTCTGACTTCCTAGCTTAGGGTAATGGTTCCTCTCAAAGTTCAAAGCCTCCTTTGGCCTGTCACTTAGTCATTACAAATTAATTTCTTACTTTCCTTCATAATGCAATTACTGTAAGGTAGTCGGGTATGCAGGACAACTTCTCGCTTTGGTTCCTGGCTTTCTATTTTCTATTTAAATAGAGTATAATACAATTTATGAATTATTATGTCATAATTTTCCCTAATGGTTGCCCTAATAGGTGAGATTCTTTATCAGATATTTTCTATTGTTTCAAAATTACATTTGTCTAAATATCCTTTCTTATTTTTCTGTAAAGGTAGCTCTGGGTGTTTTTCTGATCCAGCAATAATAATTTATTGCCTATTTGGGATTAGTCCCTTTTAGATAGCTTTTCTGCAAACAAGGTTTCTGTTCTTGGCTATGAACCCTTGAAACTTTCACTCCTTAAATGGGATCTGACAAAATTGATTATCTGCTATCAAGCCCAAACAATTATATTAAAATTAGTATTTCTCATGGGGTTTTGACAGTATTAACTTTAAAAGTATTATCACTAGGAAATACCCGGTCAGTTAATAGTTGGCTGCCATTTTCTCTTACATATTGGATTAAATAATAGTGGGTAAAATGCTGGCTGAATTTGACTGACAGTAGCAGCAAGGAGAATGGTATAATTGTTAATCCTGCCCTATTCCAGAGGCAATATGTTGTCAAAATGTCTGTTTGTTTTGCTGTTTTCTTGATCTAAATTATTTATATTGGGATGGAGAAAAAATATCTATATTTTATTTATTTATGTCTACAAATATCTAACATATTTATTTATATTTTTTCTAATAGCCTTTTGATATCCACAGTGGCATGACTTAAAATAGGAGATAAAGATTTGATACCCTTGACTAGATGACCAAGCTAAGGCACACACAGTTTTCTCCAAACCACAATAAACCTAATTTCTCAATTTTTCAATAAGTGACAACATTTAGGATATTAATTCCTAAATACTTTGCTCAGACACACAATCACGTGCCTCATAGCTGTTTCTTCATAGATTCGTTCAACACTTAATAGTCCCAAGTTAGTATGATAGCTTGACACATCACTGAATTAACTGATTCCTTACAGAATGTAAAAAAAATGCTTATATTTGAGCATTTACATTAGTATCGTTTTGTCTGCGTACTGCAAAATGCTATGTTCCATTTTAGGAGTTGTCCCAGTTGAGCTGTTACTCTGATGTATTTTGTATGCCAGATGTTCAGAATGAAAGAAGTGAGGACAACCTTCCTCTCACAGCTGAAATTCCTTAGTATATATCAATTAGATTTTATCCTGGCAGAGAAGAACAATTTGTTAAAATCTTCATCTGAGCTTTATGTCCATCACTAGTGATTCCAAGAGAGATCACTTCATTAGTTTAGCGGCATGAACTAGGACTTTGTTGCAATTCTAGGAAAAAGATAAGAAACATTTTCTCCACTCCACAGAGCTTTTGAAGTATAAATTGCTAGTGTGATAGATCAAATACTTGTCCAACACAAATGAGGGGACAACATAACGCAACGTACCTAGACAACAGGTATTGTTAACCTAGCACGAGAGAAGGGATTTGCAGTTACCTGGATGCATCCCTCACAAGTTGCAGATCAAACCATGGAGTGAACTCCCCTCTTAGCTCCTGGTTTGTGACTGGTACAAGTCACGCATGAAGCAGGTTGACCAGAAAGCTGTGTCTACAGCCCCAGCACCTGGGGAAAGGAGAGGGTGATAAAGGAGTCCCCAGACCCATCACTTTCCACTGCATTGGTTTTAACACCAACAATCATGATTCAACATTTTTCAAATTTTTGCTTGAATGACAGTATTATTTTCTGTATCAGTGCCACCTTCTACAGCTTCACAGAGGTGCAGGGACCACTTCTGGATCTACCTCAGAAGCCTCAGTCCACACACTGCAGGACGGGCTGACGTACTGGGCATATGACAGCCATGTTATTGGGGGATGATACAGTCTGGATGGGTTTTGTATAGCACAGGCAGTCTGTTCCCCAGAGTGGGAAGTTTATTTTTATCAGGATGTCCAGCATTGTAGGGCCATTAAGCAAAGAGCATCAGTAGGTACTGTCATAATGTCCCAAATCTTTGGTTCTACTTGTCTCATGAGTTCTTCACATGGGATTTAGACCTATTTTTACCATTTCTTTTGTCTTTCTAACACTGAAGTAATGAAAGTAAACCCATCATTTGAACAAATAAAGTCTGGCAAAAGGAGAAGGTCTTAATGAAGGAGCTGCAGCTGCAGGGATGTTGAAATGCGGTGATGTGGCTGCCAGCTGGCCAGTCTTTCCCTCACATAGGTCTGAATGAACAGCCAAACTTCAAGCTCCACGTCAAACATCAATGCTAAGTGACACCCAAGAAGGGTACAAAAGTACAGGTCAATAGACTGGAGCTCTAAAGGGAAATAAGGAGTAAGGGAAGAAGGTAGTAAAAGCAGTGACAAGGAATGAAAAGGAAGATTCAGAGTAGGAAAGAAATATGTATTGTGTTATTAGCCAGAAATTACTTTGGCAATTACTCTTCATTATTTTTATATGCATTTATTCCTCTTCAAAAGGAATTTTCCAAATTCTTCTTCTCTCTAGCTGTAAAATAAATTATGAATTGCGGGCAAGAGAAGCTGTATCACTTCCAGTGGGTCTAGTTACACTCAGTCCCAATATACAATAGCATTCAAACGCTTTCTCTTCTGTCGTGCTGGAAGAGTACTACAAAGCATTCCCAGTCTGATCACAAAGTCAGCCAACAGTGTCCTGCCTGTGCCTGGGGAAGGGTGAGTCAGTTCAGGACAGCGAGGAGGATCCCGCATGGGTTTGGCTTGTAGGTCTGTGGGGAGATGGGATGAAGAGGAGAAATTTGCTTTGCCTGGTGGGCTCAGAAATTGAGAAAGGGGAGAAAAGTAGCTCATGAAGGAACAAAGACCTAATGCGGGACAACTGTGAGTCCCCTGCACATGGCCTGCAGAGTCTGGGGAGGGCTTTTTCTGAAAGCTGCCAAGCCATGGCCGCTGTGCAGATCTGCAGCCTCAGAGTGAGCCCATGCCCACACCAGGGCCAGCACCGCATGCGTACAATGCCCAGGGAGCAGTGGGCATGAAGCGGGGCTGGGGAAGGAGTGCATCTGCAGCATGTCGCAGAGGGGCGCAGGCTTCAGTGAGAGCAGTGAGAGGTCTGTCACATCCAGGGAGTCACATCTCTGCTGGGCGTGCATTGACTAAATGAATCTGTTTGGATGGCAGACCAGAATGAAGAGACGTCCAATACCAGTGAGACTCCAGAGTCTGTGTCGCTGGCTGATGCCTCAGCAGAGAAGGCCACAGAAGGCTCTGACACTGACCTAGAGGTTGAAGGTGAATGTTTTTTGACAATCTGCCCTCCCTAGCCTTTCTCTTACAGTAAGAGCTGTACCTACCAACTGGTATGTATCCAAAATGGAGACCAAGGACACAACTCTGCCAGGGTCCTGACAACCACACATAATCTGGCAATTGATAAAGGGGGGAATTTCCCTCTAAGGTCTCTCCCTATGATGCCAAGCATCTTCCTTCAACTGCTTTCTATAGACTATTCCTTTGTTCTTTCTTCTCTCCTCTCGTCCTTAATAACCAACGTTACCAGACCAGCCCGCTGCCTGGGCAGCAGGAGCAGCTAGCTGAAACCAGGGATGGGACTGAGGCACTGGTTTTGTGCTCCTGATGAAACACTGCATAGCAATTGCGGTCTGCGTACTATAGGTTTGCCACAACTGTCCTAGACTTTTCTGGTGGCTCTCCTCTTATCTCCTGCCTAGTAAAGTCAGTCCTCTGGCTAAACAAGTCTTGCACGCATTTTTATAACAGTAGAATTTGTCCATAATTTAGGAGAAGAACTTTTTAACTTGTAATAAATGGAAGGAAAATAAAAAACCATAAGAATGCAAGAAAAAACAAGACATTTTTGTTAGAGGCCTCAGATTGAACTGGAAAATGGCTTTGACGAGAGGGGAATTTGTCTTGAGGTCAGACCATTGAATGCATATAACAACATCAAGAAATATGAGCTCTAAGTATGGGGTTTGATGAAGGAATTCCAAATGACAGGTTTTTGTGGAAATACAGCCGCCAGCTGCACTGATATGTCTCACTGCAGCTGTGTCAACAACACCCAATGGCCAAGATGAGAATGCTGGGATTCTTTCTGCTGGTTGTAAGCCAAAATGTTCTGAGCTGCCCTAGCTCTGCTGGCAATATCAGCTGTGTGCTTCAATTAAGATTTTTAAGGAAAAAAAAAAAGGTTGAAAATGTTTTTGCCTGATGTCAAGAATTCTCAATTACACTAAGAAAGATTTAGTCACATTGCAGACTGGTGAGAAGCTACAGCAAGTCACTGGCGGAGAAGCAAGGAGGAGACATTAACTCTTGGAGGTCTGGGATAAAGGAATGGGGAGAACCAGGGGACAATAACCCTTTAAGAGTAAAAGCCTACTGTTGTTGCATTCTGTCACTTAATTTTATTAAGTTACTTAATTTATTTAAAAGAGGAGGGAGGACATGCACCACTCATCAATATACTTTTTCTCTGTAGATCCTGAGAAGACCTTTGTGGGCATTACAGGCACAGAGCTGTACTTGGAAGCATGCAGGCTGATGGAGGTGGTGCCTGTCTCACACTTTATTCAGAACTTGGCCAAGCCTTATATAAACCTGAACCACCATGGTCTAGGACCCAAAGGTGTCAAAGCCATTGCTATTGCTCTGGTGGTGAGTATCCAGTAAGAGTGGGGCCATTGTTCCCAAGAACGATAGGCATTTTAGACCTCTCTCAGGCCTGGAAGCCATCACTGAGTACACAGTGTGGGAGAAAAAGCCATTTTATCTTCCCCATAGGAGCTCTGAGCATCCCTAATGTTTCTAATCCCCTGAACAGTAAAGTCTTGTGTGGCAACTGCTGACCCT